GGCTTCAGCTGGTATTTCAGGAAATTATACAGGTATGCTCCATTGTTCGTTAAAGGAAAGGTATTGTATGCTTGCACAACATATTTACATGCTTATACTTACATATTTTACTGTTCTTTAAATAACTCACGATATTATCTTACCTCTTCCTTCCAGGAGACATTGTTGAGCTTGAAGAGCTGTATCTCTTGCCTATATTAGTCAAAATAACTTTGAAACCAACAAATCCTTTAACTCGTTGTATGTAACTTCACATTTCACAGAAATTATGAAACATAATGAAAGATGTCACAGATAATTTCATTAAAGCGATTTGTTATAAACTGAATGTTAATAGATACAACAAATATACTTTGAGATGTTTAGGGGAAAATCTAAAAAGGTGAACAACTTTGCATCATTTATTTGTAAAAGACCCAAAACACAGGGATCAGTTTGTATGAGTGTGATGATCTCAGATGCCTCATAAATCTACTGTAAAATCTACTTACAGCTTTCAAAGATTTGACATAAATCATGTCACATCTTCAATTCCAAGCTATCAGGAATGAGGAACTGGAGAGGAAAACCTGAGCTGGGCAATAATTCTGTGTTTCTGGCTTTCTTTCATTAATGTTCCTTGGCTCCGGTGCTTCTGAGTCTGAGGTTTACCTTACAACTATTTTTAATGTAATCTACACAAAATGGTCAAAAGCAGATGTAATTGAATTGCACATGACATTTTAAATGATACTGATATATTATATTGTCTACTTTGGTTATTGTTTTCACCATGAACAGAACAGTTTGAGGGAACGAGAAATATCAGAACTGATGTAAAAAAACATTCTTTAAGAGAAACGATCGTAATTCAAATGGAATTGTAATTGCAATTGAATTTAAAACTTCTGGAGCATGTCAAATACAGACAGAATCATGGAGTGGAAAAGAAAGTGAGGAGGAATTTAATGAACATTTTTAGCTTTAAGACCGCTTATGCTGTCACTCTCACTAAATTATTTCTATGCATTTTTCAGCACACACACACTTTTCTTAAGAAGGTATAATTCAAATATACTTCTTTTTCAAAATTTGGTTTTAAATCAAGGTTGTCCACTGTTTGGAAACATTGTTTTTTTGCCCTGCTGACTGAGTCATCCATGTAACAAAACCAAAATATTGAAATAACTATACAGACTTCACACTGGCAAACCATAAAACAAACTCTTGTCTGGTAGATATCATCCTAGATATAATTTTCACTGTTAATTTTATTTTCAACTAAAGCAAGCATAACTTCTTGCTAACTAACAAGAAAAAGAAACTTTATAACATGTTTCAAAGTCAAAAGTCTAGTCAATTGCTTATCATTTTATTCCACACATTCTACTTCTCAGTTCTAGCTTGAAATCTTTCCAGCAAAGACCTCAGGTTGGCTTGTGTTGTGGTTAACTCGACTGGCAGAGGCCCTCATGCGGGGAAGGCAGTGTGCTTTGGCCAGCCCCAGGCTGGTATTATTCCTGTTTTCTTCATTCCACAGCAGGCTGGCTCTGTCAGAAGCCTGAGGATCCATCGATCCGTCACCTGAGGATGAGCCAGTCTGATAGTTTCTACCTGTGGTGGGAAATGGGGAATTAAATGCTACTTCATGAGGTCGAAATGGACATCTACTGTATGAATAGAAACAAGGAAAACTGTATATTCAGTTCACAGATTTTCATGTTGCTTAGGAATGGTCTTATACACAGGAATGACTGATTTCCTGCCTGTAACTACAAATGAACCAAAATTTCAACCTATGTGAAATTTCAATTAAGGAAAGCACTGTTTGATCCTTCTGCATCCCTATCACGTTTTCCCTTCAAGCCAGGGTCAAGGTTTCTCCATCTCTTTTAAAATGGAGACAACGTGTGTCTAGTCAGGATTCAATCACCAGCTTGCCAGACCTCTACTAGCAGCAGCTGAATAAAGCAGTTAAAGTTAATGTTTTTTCAAATTATTATTTCAGAAAATAAATAATTTTTTATTGCAGTGCAGTGATAAATCTGTTCTAGAGTGCTGGCAAGCCCTCTGGTCCAATGACCCCAATACTTGCAGCTAGAAACATGCATCCATTCCAGGAGCCTCCAAGCTGATCTGAACACTAGCTCAAAAAATAAAATAGCCATGCAGGTTTTTGCAGAGAGAATAAAATTTTGCATAATCTAGTACTGCATGCATAGTCTCTCCTTTGCTGTCTTTCTGTGTCTCTTACCATTATTTACCACGTTTCTCATTAGGAAAGACCGGATGTCGTGAGGGTAAGAAAAATCAGAACAAAGATCAACCTGGGACTCCTCTAGGTTGGAGTGTGTGTTACTATTAAGGTTGGCCTTGTAATGATCCCTTGTTCTCTTAGTCTGTGGTGCCTGCAGCTGGTTACCAAACTGCAATTTCCTATGGCTTATGTGTCAAATTCTTTCTGTGTCTCTTACCATTATTTACCACGTTTCTCATTAGGAAAGACCGGATGTCGTGAGGGTAAGAAAAATCAGAACAAAGATCAACCTGGGACTCCTCTAGGTTGGAGTGTGTGTGTTACTATTAAGGTTGGCCTTGTAATGAGCCCTTGTTCTCTTAGTCCGTGCTGCTTGCAGCTGGTTACCAAATTGCAGTTTCCTGTGGCTTATGTGTCAAACAGGGAGCTCACTAACAGCAGTTAAGTTGCACTTGATCCCATTCATGACATATAACTAGATCTGCACAACAGAAGTGTTACTAGTACCTCTATTTTGTGCAGACTGTTTTTAAAAAGTCTTTTGTGCACCACTTCAAATTTCTGTATGGACATTCAGGGCTTTTAAAAATATAAATAATTACAAAAACATGTAAATACTTTGGGCACAAATGCTTACATTAGCCCCAGGCCTTCACTGCTACCACATCTATCCCTCACCTCTGCCTTTGCAGCCCGTGACCTATTCCCACTCTCCCTGTGCCACTGGGTGAGGTGCATCCAACAGTTTGTAGCATCCAAAATCCGATGGCACCTTTTGATTCCAATACATTTTAACATTTATAGTTTTTATGTCCATTATTACATATACCTGCCTTTGCAGCATGTCATGGATATGTTGCTGGGATAGACTGATCAACTCCCTGAAGTCATCACTATGAAGAGTAATTTCAGAAAGGGCTCACAGTTTTATCATTCTTTACTGACAAGAGTACAGAAGTGACATTTATGTTCCCTGTTCTTATCTCTACTTAGATCTCCAGAATTTTTACATACAGGTGTTTGGCTTCTTTACATGTAAGCACTGTGATAAGCACCAAACATATTCAGTCCTGTGGGAGGTCCTGTTTTCTTTATCTAGTTCACAACTGCCAGAAAAACTACCAGGCTGCAGATGTGACCAGCCAGACCGGACAGAAAGAACTGAAAATAAATGCTAAGTACAGTGATGACACACTCTTCCAGGATGCTGACCATGAGGGTTAGTGGTTATAGCGAATTTGCACCATGGGGCCCTGCGGACACAAACACGACACAAAAAGGCACGTATTAGCCACAAGGGAACGGGATTTTATTCTTTCCATACGCTGCCGAGAGAGCAGGGCTGAGCCAGCCGGTGGCACGCGGCGCTTCCCGGCCGCGGGGCCGTTTCAGGCCC